GGGCTGAACACATGGCTCCCAGCCTCTCTGTGAATGCGTTCCCTCTTCTTGGAATGGAAAAGCACTTATATAGCAAAATGTTTGATAAGGACGCACATTAGAAACACGAATGCACACCGCACCACATCACAGTTAGGCACAAGATAATCAATCATCAATGCAATTCTCCATGCCCACGGCCTCCAAAGCGCTTGCCAGCGCAGCAGTGTGCTTCACTTTGTGCTCCTGTAGCAACCGGATGGTTGCAAGAAAACCCAAGAGCCCTTGTGTCAGCCCTGTATTATTTTGAGGTCATGCAGAATTGTCGCTTATTCTTGTGATGGTTAAACAAACTGGCAGTTTCAAAGTACCTCAAACCCATCGTCTGTACTGCAAAAATAACACGCGGAATTGAACTAAATCCTGCACAAGACCTGGCCAAACGATCGTCGGAATTGGGTCCTCCAAGTTCTGGCAGTGTTGTTCATCTTTCTCCTCACGAAGCTGCGCGGCGGAACTCAACAAGATCATGCCCAAGTCTGCTTGGCCCTTCATTGCATTTGTGGGATCTATATAAATTCATTGACTGACCGTGGCATGCAAAGCTGGTCTCACAGGGAATAGGTCTCCTTCAAGGCCCTTTCCAGCACGGCCTCATGATTTTGCTTTTGTTCCTCCACATGCGGGCCGAACACATGGCTCCAGCCTCTCTGTGAATGCGTTCCCTCCTTCTTGCAATGGAAAAGCACTACTTATATATATATATATATAAATGTTTGATAAGGACGCAAAGCAGAAGCACGAATGCACAACGCACCACATCACAGTTAGGCACAAGCTCATCAATCATCAATGCAGTTCTCCATGCACAGGGCCTCCAAAGCACCTTCCAACGCAGCAGTGTGCTTCAACTTGTGCTCCTGTAGCAACCGGATGGTTGCAAGAACACCCAAGAGCCCTTGTGTCAGCCCTGCGTTATCTTGAGGTCATGCAGAATTGTCTCTTCTTGTGATGGTAAAACAAATTGGCAGTTTCAAAGTACCTCAAACCCATTGTCCGTACTGCAAAACTAACACGCGGAACCTGACGACTCTCCACACAAGACCTGGCCAAACGATCGTCGGAATTGGGTCCTCCAAGTTCT